ACTGGAGGTCAACAGTTCAAGTTATTTATGTGTTCATATAACAAGTTACATATTCTCATACCTGAGAGCTTGTCAGGTTGGTGTCATCTATTATGTACTGCTTTCTAATGGAGTAGAACATGGATAATTCTTTACTTAAGCTTTCAAAACACTCCTTTTCTTCATCCCAGTTTACCTGTTACAATCAAGAAAAGCTACTTAAAATCTGAGCAGCAGTTAAGATACAAACTTCTAATATGAAAAAACTGTAAGTAGTTGGATCATTTTGATGCAGATAATGGAACAGAAATAAGATGGATAGAAATGAAGGCTTTCAAATAAAAGTGAGTATCTGTTCTCATTAGGTTAGCACTCATGATGTTATGGTCAAAAGTATAACTATTAAGTAACCACAGCAAAAGCTTAAGTATAGTAACAGGCTGTTTAAACCCATTCCAGCCTTCCATGCACAACTTTAGAAGCTAATTAAAATTACAAATGCCTTCTTCATTTAAGAAAGAAGTGAACAAACACACTCCTTTTTATTAAGGAAACATACCTCTGTGGCCAGGCGAAGGATAAACATGGGCAGCCCTTCCAGAGGGGGGACATAGTTGTCTAGCAGCAGCGGTAATCCCATAAGGTTTCCTTCCTGTAATGCAATACTGCTGCGTCCATAAAAAAGGAAAAGTGCTCTTTGTTCTTACAGTAGATGCATCAAAACTTGTCTATTATAGACCAGATATTTGTCCTTTCATTGAAACTTAGTGCTCCTTAACAACATCTGAGTTGCATCTTTGTACAGTCTGATTCTGGGCAGGTAGCATGGGGAGAATTTTGGGGAGGTTTCTCTTTGGTTTGTGGTTTGTTATTTATAAACTGAGAAGGCCTGAATTTAGACCATCCAGGTCAAAGAGACCTGATTTCAGGGTTCCTCTCCATCTCAAGGCGCTAAACACAACTCCCCCTTCCTAGGAAAACATTTCAGACACATGAGGTTGAGGGAAATAGCACACTTGTTGAGGGTGTTCTGCATTGTATAAAATAAGGGGTGTATTAAGTTCTTACTGATATTCTTCACCTGCCCAGCATTTCTGAAGCAAGCAAACTACTACAGTTACCTCATCAATATCTAGCATATTTTAGTCACCTCATCAATTTCAAGAGAGAAATAATCTTTCAGCATTTCAGTCTTCTTCTTCAGAAATTCAACAATGTACTCGGCGAGCCCTTCCTTGGGGCCATCTTCTTCTGTCCAGCCACTCTCAGGGTCCTCTAAAGCAAGCAGGGCAAGCTCAAATAAAGGAGCTGGCTCCTAAAAGCAGAGGAGGCAAAACTGTGGTTAATAATCACAAACCTCCTCCCATTCTTTAAAATGCATTTGTTCCTTCAACTATAATCTAATTGGCTCTGGTCCACAAGTGAGCAGTTCCGTGTATCCTATCCATCTAAAAACAGGCAAAAATACTAATTTTTTACTGATAGGATTCTGCAGCATCCAAGATTCTGTAACGTGCTTGATAGTTACAAGATAAGGAGTAGCACTTTACAGTCTACTTCTGATAAAGAGAGCTTATGTATTAATTATTTGTTCCAGTACAGTACCAGATAACAAAACTCAGTCAGTAGCCAAAAGTGAGATTAACAAGGGGCCAGTATCACAGCTCCCAGCAGTAGCTACAAAATTGCTAACAGCATTTGCTCCATTATCAAGCTTCCTTTTGACCAAAAAAAAAAAAAAAAACTGAGAAAAAGATAGGCTTGATACTCACAGACAGCCTTAAGATGCCAAAGTTTGCAAAGTCATAAATAAGTATCTGGTAGAAGAGTTCTTGGCTAAATTGAAGTACAAGAGTGAGTTAGTTACATGGGCATGACCACTGCAAGATCTATATGTAAAGAGGGAAAAGTAAAGGTCATCTTGGGAACATCAGAAAGGTCTCTTCAGGTTAACAAAGATCTTATTTTAACTAAACAGTTTAAGATTTACACACTCACCCTAAAATTGTAGCTACACGTATGCTTTCTGAGCTGATTGCTTAATTCTTAGCCTCATGAATTTTGTACAGGTGACAAGAAAGCGTTAGTAGTTTTTCTCTCATTTCTTTCTCCCTCCTAATTAGCGTGGTCACGAGCAGCTATTTCAACAGTGACAAGTCAGATAGCTAGCTTCTTTACCTGAGTTTGGTTGTATTGAGAAGATACAGTTTTGTCTGGTACTGTGCCAGAGCCCACTGAGGACTGACACAGCCAACAAAGGAGTGATCGTGTAGCATCTCCTGAAGACCTGAGGGGGAAAAAAAAAAAAAAAAAATCATATACCCCTAATTCCATCAACCCTGGCCGGACAGATTTGCTTGCCTGGGTTGTAATGGGTCTTTTCAACATGAAGGTCCCGAACTTCCATTCAGGCCTGTACTATGGGCCTGTACTACCCCCTACCAATATATGTTTTGAAGTCTTAATCAGTTGTGTGCATATGCATATAGTTGTATATATTAAAGCATAAATGAGAAAGATTATACAATAGTTAAGCTACAAAGGAAAATTTATTTAAAAATTTCTGTATTGGACTTGAAGAGCATGACTTTCTAGAGCAGTTGCTGGTGAGAGATTAGTAAGAGAATAAAGACATATTTTAACACAAGGTTGCAGATGTAGAATAACCTTTCACCAAAATACAACAGACTACATTTCCAAAATGTGGCAGATAGGGTCCAAATTCTTTTGAGAATTTGAGAAGTGAGATTCCACAGTTGCAGCCTGTTTTAGCCACTCCTCAAAGGACATAACTATTTACAGTCTTTCTTAAAACAGCATGTACAAAACATTGAGCTGACCAAATTGCAGTGTTGCCTTTTCCAAAGAAATAACATACAGTTAAAGCGCATTTCTTTCTTATAGAAGTAACTTGTATGTATTTCTCATACATGTAAAGACAAGACAAAGCCAGCTGCACAAATTCTACAAATCCTACTTTTTTGTGCTGCTTTTATAGCATGGGTAAATGTCTGATTTCAGTATTTAAACAGCAGTAGTCAGATAAGGAATACAAATACAGAATTACCAGCCTACTGTGAGATATTATCAGGAGCACATGCTTTCTAAAGATCAATATTTTTAGTGTTTGATTCGGTTGTAGGTTACTTATTAGAGAGCCATTTTAACTGTGGAGGATCCCTCATTGTAGCTAGCATAAAATCAAAATAAATTCAAGGAAAAGAAAAGGAAGTATATAAAACATCTGTTTACAAACATGGAATCCTGACCAGGCCAGTGTAGCTCATACCACTTAGTAGCTGCCTGGGCAGTTTGCCCCTTGATATTTAACAAACATTTCTGTTAGAAGCTCACTTGCAGCAGTGGACTAATGTGACCACCTTCTTAATGTGTTTTTTTTTTCTCCTTTCTCAGCAGTCCAAACAAACATTTGCTTGGCACAGCATCAGTAATCCTGGGGAGCAAGATAATTGCTTACCTGCATGTGCCTGGTTACTAATTTCCTCCTGGAGAGTCAATACACTGGTCAAGTTAATAATTCTCCTTCGGGGGGTGCAGGCAGCTGTCATTTCCTTTCTGTTATCATCTGTCTCCATTTCCACGTCAGTATCTTCACGTGGTCTCTTTCTGCCATCGGGAAAGGAAAATGAAACATCTCCTCTTATCACACTCACACTCAGCTCAGGGCATGGTCAATTCACAGTAATGATGGAAATGCAGAAGGCTTCCCCAAGCTTCTCCAAAGGGAAAACTGTTCTGTTGCACTTCCTAGGCACAATTTGTCAGAGCATAATAATTCATATGGGAATTTAAGTCTTTTTTTAACATTGATTACATCTGATGCATCTATTGCTTAAGCATCAAGCCAATCAGGCTCCAAACAGCACATCACATCACAAAATTCTGTTATTTCTTAGGGACTGCAATACTAGGAAAGAAAAGAAATACAAACCAGGTTCTCTCAAATCACTTTGGCTTCTCAGAATAATTCACTTCAAAGCTACAAAAAAAGTTACAGTGCTTATATCTTTATTAGGGTATTTTCTGAAAAAATCAATGATATATTTTCTATTCCCTCCAAAACGGGGAACCTCTGAACACATACAGCGTAATAAGAGTTCTCTAAGCTAAAGTTAACATCACTACTTAGTTTCTGGCCTTCCAAACTACACAGAATCTCCCATTCCAGCTACAGAACTTACCACAAGTTGCCTAGCACATGGTTCACAACTTCAATTTCTTGGGTGGCACTGCCCAGAAACGAGTAGGTAACACTTCCCATTCAGCAAAGAGGAGACTTACCGAGGCGGCACCGCTTCAGGAGACCCGCCTGGGCTCTTGCTCCGGCCCCCTGCCGGCCCCGGGCTCCTCTGAGCAGCGGCGACTTCAGCTACAGCACTGACATCTTCCATCTCCGCATCCCGGGGCCCAGCTGCGCTCTCCGGGAGCCCTGCTCCTGCCCCGGCTCTCGCCTCCGCGGGGCTGGTGCTTGGGGCCTTGCTGGCCGGCTGAAGGAAAGCATCCAGCTTTTGCTCTTTGGAGTCCGTGCGGACCATCTGGTGCGCGTAAACTTTATCACCCGCTCCTTTGGTAACTGCCGCAGAGTTTGCTGCTGATTTCACAACCTCGCTGGAAGAGCAGTCGGCCCCTGGAAGCAACGTCTTCATGAAGATACAGAAGACAGAGAGGAGCAGAGAATGAGCACAGTCCAACGCCCTGCCAGCTTCTTACACCATCTCACTGCTCGAAACATTCGCACTGCGGAGACACCATGTCAACCGCTCACACAGGCAACCAGCTCTGTGCTCACTATCAGCACAACACAAACGTCAGCGTCTTGGCAGGTAAGGAAGTCGCTGTGAACACTGCCTCGTCTCAAAGACAAAATCTTGAGTGTCAACAAGCACAAGGAGATCTGTTTTCAAATGTTAGTAGTTGCAAGTCCTTACACTACACTACATACAGAGGTAATGGATTTTTTTCCTTGTTTTTTCTCCACTTACTAAGTCCAAGGTGTTGTCAAATATGTATATAAAAAAACCATTACCACAGTAACAGGTCTACCCCACAGAATCAGGACAGAATAAAAACAAACCAAATGTGAAGCACAGCACACTCGTAACACCAAAAAGACTGAACAGATATTTGGCAGATAGGTACATAAAATATTTTTTATTTTTAAATTTCATTCACTTTTTCTTCCAGTAAGCTTACTGCCTCATTGCCAACACTGGCATATTAAAGCAAGTTGAGTATAGAGCAGAAACTTGAAGCTACCAGCATAACACTGATAGTTACCAAATGCTGCTTAAACTGTGCTATTGAACAGAGTAAACTTGACAACTGTTAGTACACTGGTCAGTGGAAACGTGTTTTCTCACCTGGGTGAAGTACATCCTGGAAGAATTAGAGCCCAGTAACTTGCTCTCTATGTGCTGCTGCACACGCTCTAGAATACTGTCCTCGTGAAGAAAATGGACTTCGTGCTTCGTAGGATGCACGTTCACATCTACATTCTGAGGAGCTATTTCCAGGCTGCAAAACATTATAAAAGATTCATCAGATCTAGGGCCACAACTCTATGCAATTAAGCCAAAAAAGTCCTGAAAGCCGCAGTGAGATTTCCTTGCTACGTTTGTGAGTCTGTGTGAAGAATTTGATTCCAAACTCTTCAAAATCAGTTAACGTAGGTGAGCTTAAATCAAACTCTCCATTGTATTACTACAAAAACAGTTTTGAAAAGAAACTTACTTAGAGTGTGCCTGAACTAACGAGCTCTGAGGCCCTGTCTTTTAGCATTATTGCCATGCAGGAATAGAGCTGAATGCTGCAGTGCATTCACTTTATTTATTATTAAAGTGCCAGCGCTTTATTGCTCAAAAGAACAAGACCAACCTTTTCCATACATGCATGGCAAAAGATTAATGCTCTTTTTGTTACACTAGCATACCAAAAACAGTAATAAGTAAGAATGGAGATGATGATGTTCTGCTTCTCTAGAACACAACAGAAATCCTAGCAAAGAAAAATACTGATGGAGCTTGGAATAAAAGCCCTGACTGGCCTGAAATGCTCTGCTTTATCCCCAGTACAGCTATCTTCCTAACTCATAATAGCAAAGGTTGAAATTACAAATATCAAAGTTGAAATTACTAGGTGCTTACTATTTCTGAAAATCAGGCCTTCCTTTTAAAGATTTTTAATGTAATGATCTTTCTAATATGGAAAATACATACTGAATTTTCTCCTATTCAGCACTAACCTAGCTCAATGTGATGCCGAACACTCCCACCAGGGATACCAATGGCTTTTTAAACCTACCCACTCCCTCCACACGCTGCACGAGCAGTAAAAGGCAGTAAAAGGCCGCTTTCTATTACTTTACCTTAAGTACAGGAACGGGTGTGTACTTTTTGGCAAGTAGGCAGCATAGACAGTTTCAATGGCTTTCCGCAAAGCAGTCGACTCTACCAGTCGATCTGAAACAAAGAGCAAAATGCTACATGCATCAGTGAAACACACTGACTGCATGATGTCCAACACTTTAGTTAGACCAAAATCTTCATACACCGCATCTTCAGAGGGCATCACTTGTACTCCTTTTTTACCCCCTGCAGACATCTTAATATAAATTAAGGAATACGCAACGTCAGTTTAGTGTGCTTCTAATTTTTTCTTTTTACGTTTAGAAGCGTTTTTTTCAGTGTGCTAAAACTGGAATAACCAAACTACCTTTCCATTATTTGGTACAGTCATGGCTTCCTGCAGGCACCACCAATGTTGTTGCAGCCATAAACTTGACATTCTTAAGTCTGAATTTCTTTAGGGCCAGTATCAGTATTTTAGAGTTTGAAATATAACCCACATTGCACGTAGAAATAAAAGAAATCTTATCTACCATGAACTGGAATATTTACCCCTCAGTCGTCTTCAGGGAAGTTCATATTTGGAATATTTTTTGTAGTTCTTGAGAGAAATGGATTTTGTCTGATTATTACGCATGCAACAGACAACTCTACAACATGCATTTTTAACTTACGGTTTATGAAGAGTAAAAATATACATTTCTTCACAGAGTAGTTTGCATTCGTTATGTAACCCTTCATTTTAAAGGCCAAGCTTGCATCTTCACAGCCCACTTCTATCAGTTCTCTAGAGTTTTACAGAAATGAAGAATTCTGCTGTTGATATAAATTTCAGTCATGCTACTGCTCACAAGGAAGAATGCACTACTATACATTGCATTTATGTTTCCCTTAAAGAAAACACTAGAATTGTTGTAGAGCTTACACATTCTTTGTCAACCCTAAAATTTTTTCAACACATAAGAGTAATAAAACACCAATTGCTTATTTCTCCCTAAGTAAACCAGTAACACAGTAGGATTAGATTCTATAAAGTCACCCAGAATATCTTTATAATACCTGATTATATCACAGTATCCACTTCATTAGAACTGTCAGTTTAAGTCACTAACGGTGGCAAACATGGACACTCCAAAATTGTCAGCAGCCCAGGAAAGGTCACCTTTTTTTTTTGAACTGTTGTGTCCACTTGTTAAACATATATAGTGGGCTATTAAGAACTCAAAACATTTTTTTCTTCCCATGGGTACAGATCCTAGCAATAAGAGTCTTCACAGACTGCATGACATTTGTGATACATTAGCTTGGGAAATCAGATGAGACTTTGCAATCTGTGAGTATTATCATCTAGCAAAGCATTATGCCAGCTTTGAAAATTAACATAAAAAGGCTTATGGGCTACTTATTTCAAATTCAGTCTCCATATATTCCAGCTTCAATTTTCAGTTGTGTTATTTAAGTGCAAACAATTAGCTACTAAGAAGAGGTAAAATTTTCATGGCGAGGAGGAGGCCAGGAGCTTGTATCACAAGCTGGACCTGCATCTCTTTCTCAATTAGCAGATGGAAACCTACACACAGATACCTTCCTTCTGCTGCATTAAAGGGAAACTACATCACAACTTGCCCCTTTCCTTTGATTGAAGAAAAAAAAGATAGCCACACACTCTACAAAGCAAGAGAAACCTCTCTATTATTGCAACATTTCCTCTTCCCTCTAACTCATTTTAAAGCAAATATATGTAAAGTTAGCAGAGTCTGTGTTTTTATTAAAAAGGAATAGGAAGGTTAGCAGAACACATCATGTCAAAATGAAAACTGATGGTAAACGTACCTACTAACAGCATTTCCAAAGATGGACCTGATATTATCCACTGTTGAGGCATTTGATAAGGTTCTAACATCTGACATAGTATCACCTTGCTATAAAGGGAGCAGAAATGAGTAACACAGTTCTGGCTCAAAGTCTCAGAAATACACTAACCACAACAATATGCATTTCTGACAAAAACATACAACCTTTTTTTTTAATCTGTCTTATTATTTACCTGTTTGTGTTAAGAAAAACAACAGATGGCAAACAGCATGGAAATACAATAATTTATTGACCACTTCAGGTGCAAGGTCCGTTGGGCTAGTAACCCATCTTTGCAAGTGGGGAACCTAAGCACTTCAGTAAATAAGTATCAGCAGTGCTGTAGACCACATGCTACAGACTCTTACTTAATACAATTACTAGTAACCAGACTTTCAGAAAAGGTTGAAACAGCTCTTAAAGCTAACACAAAATAAAACACTGGCAACATAGGAGACTCCAAGCTCCTTTTATCTTGTTCACTTTTAATCGATGTGCTTTCCAGTGTGGATACAAAAACACACCTCAACACTTCAGCACCTGGGAAGGGTCTATAGAACAGCCCCATTGCAAAAGATGCCATCCAGCACAGAGCGGTGCTGTCACCTTCAGAAAAATATGAGGACATTAAGAACCCTTTACATACCTTTTTAACTGAAAAGCTGATGCCTGAGTTATGGACGGCATACCTGAGACCAAGGCAAAAAGAGTGCCATGTATGAAAGAGCAACCAGTAACAGAAGCAATTTCAATTACTTTAATACAATTTATCTGAACTTATGTAGATTAATAGCTTTCAAAAAAAAAAAAGTGAAATGGTCTATTTATAACTAAGCTGAAATTATATAAACTTCAAGGATTAGCTTAGGTTATTACTTGGAAAAAAAAACAAACCAACCAACCAACTAATCTAACCTATACAATCTAGCTAGTTTGATTGCATTTCACAGGCTTAATAAGTACAATAAAATCTCTTCAGTAAAACAGTTCTCAAGTTCTATGGAGAAGGATCTGAGAAGAGGCTGGCTCCTCCGCTCCGAGCTCCCTCTCGGGAGGATCCAAGGCCCAGTTTGACAGAGCTCAGGTGCTCAACCTTGGCCCAGACTTGCAGAAAAAATGCTGGGTTGTGAGAAGGAACACAAAGTAGTAGGCAAGATAAGAAAGGTGAGCGTGCAGAAAGAGGGCAGGTTGTTGCAGCGGGGAATTCAGGAGAAACAGTTAGTAGCTCGGAATTCAGGAGAAGAAAGGCAACATTAAAAAAAAAAAAAAAAAAAAAAAAAAAGTAGGTAGGCCAGTGAGTTGGTAGGCAGATGGTCAGCGAGTCTGCAGATGAGACGGTCAGGAAGCAGTGGAAGCCAACCCTTCACCTCCTGCCTGTGCCTGCCTGCTCAGTAACGACTCTTTGGGAGCTTACAGGGGCACTATGCTAATACATACTATACCACAGTGTCTTTTTACTTCTCACTAACTTTTTGTTTACTGAAAGTGTAAAGTGTTTTTTGGTTAAGTTGTATAGATCCTGCCTAAGGCTCTTCACATGCCAAAGATGCCTGAATCAGTGAGCAAGCAAGGGAACATCACACCCTGCAGCTGACCTGATTTTGGGGGAGGGGTGAAACTGCCATTTAGACTTCGGTTTGGTGCAATTCTTGCTAATAATAGCAACAGAGCAACTACACTGTTTCTCTTCTGGATTTTCTTTATCCTATTGGATTGTTATCAAACACCATACACTGACAAACACTTTAAAAACAACCAGTCAAGAAGCCACACACATGTCAATCCCTCCCCAACCCCCAATGCTCTCCTTAGCGCTAGAAAAAAAAAAAACAAAGCCTCTTGTTTCAGTTTACCTGCTAACAACTTCAAGTATTTTTGCATACTCTTCACTTGGATTTTTTAAAGCTTTCCTCCTTGTATTCACATTATAAAAAAGATCTTCAACCTGCAGAGAAAAAAGTCACAATAAACCCATCTTCTTAATAAGGACAGACAAATTTGTTCTGAGGGCATTTTTATTTATGAGGCATCCATCCTCTAAGGTGAGACTGTCACGTAACACTCACAACAAGGGTAATAGCCAGAGAGCAGCAGGGGGATACGGGAAAGCAGAAACACAAAAGTACCGTGATCTGAGTCCCTTGGTTTCCCGCACAGGGTTTTGGAGGGGCTTTAATTTTTCCATCACTGTAAGTAGCTCTAATCAGAAAACAAAAATAAGGTGTTACCAGATACCTAGATCATTGAGAGTAAAAAAGACGGAGGGAGGAACAAAAAAGGGTGAAAAAATCCCATCATCAGCAGTTCATCACTCCTCCCAGCAAAAATTTGGGATGCTGACAATTGGTTGCTACCCCCATGCTTCTGCTTGATGAGAACTGGCATCACTGACAGGAATACCATACCCAGTATTTCTTCATTAACAGATAGACCTGTCCAGACATGAAAATATTTTTTTTCATTAGACTTAACCCTCCATTATACCAATGAGAAATTCTTCTCTGAATGTATAAAAGACATCTCCTTTTGGTCCACAACATTTTGAGCAGAGAAGATTTTTGCCCCACATAATTCTTTTAGCATGTTATATGGATACCTAATTTTAAAGAGCATACGCTTTTCCTGTCCCCTACTTGCTTAATGCAAGAAAATCTCAGTCGCACAACCTTTTGCAACTCTAGATGCAAAGCTCACATTTTCTCTACCTTTTTCTTAAAGGTAGTTGAGAAGTTCAGGCAGAGATTTTTGCTTAATTTGGGAGGTTTATTTTTCAGAAGAATATTCAAAAATCAATTATTAAATAGAATAAAGCACCTAGCACAAAAAAACTAACTAACTAAAATATAATATCCATGTTCAGGATCCATGACATTTGCAAGACACCCTGCCTGTGTACATGCATCATTTGTCTTCTGCCAGATTTCTGGGGGAAAAAATAAAAGTCTACCCTATTCTGGCTGCTGAGGTAGAATTCCTTTTAGACTTTTCTTTTCCTCTCACTCTTAAAATATATTGCTCTAGGTAAAACTTACTGTTACAGTCTGGAATAAAAGGCATAAAGGATCACTCAAACTAGCTTTTCTCCCTTTCGGAGCCTTTTTTACATCTGCCCTCACAATCAAGTTTCCCCTCAAATTCAGACAGAGCTTCCTGGGCTTCAGTTTGTGGCAGCTGCCTCTTGTCCTATTGCTGGGCACCACTGAACACAGCCTGGCCCATCCTCTTGAGCCCCTCTCCTAAGGTACTTGTCCACAGTGATGAGACCCCTCTCAGCCGTCTCTTCTCTTCACCCTACACCCCCGATCTCACCCCTGTAAGCTCTGCCATTCAGCCAGTTCTCAGTCCATCTCACAGTCCACTCATCTATCCCGCAGTTGCTGCGCTAGCTACGAGGATGGCACGGGAGACGGTGCCAAAAGCCCTGCTGAAGTGAAGGCAGACAACACCCCCCTTGCTCCCCGCATCTTCCCAGCCAGTCATCCCATCAGAGCAGGCTGGCAGGTTGGTTAAGCATGATTTCCCCTTGGTGGATCCATGCTGAATGCCCAGAATCCCTTCTGGATATCCACTGGATCCATTCTGGATCCCAGAATGGATATCCCTTGCTCTGAAGAGGCTGCCCTCTTGTCTATCATGTCTCAGCCAGAGCAGTGTTACTAAGACCACTGTAAAGAGAAATACATCTGTTTACCCAATGCCACATCACCAGCGAGCAGCATACCTGTACGCACACTTTGCATCCGCTGTCTTGGTCGTTACTGTAACGTGGGCAACGTGACTTATGCTAGCCAATGCCTAGGGAAAAACAAAGAATCTTTGTGAGTCTTGCTCAAGAAACCATTAACTTGTGAATGAGTGTCCACACTTCAAACAACAATCCTAAACTTTGATATACCACTTGCAAACAATTAATAAAAACCCTCTTAAGAAAACTGCAGGTTGGTAAAGCTCAAATGAATTTCAAAGCCTACAATACTTATTGGTTACTCAGGACCTTCTTTTGGCTTTTCCAACACTTCATCCTGTCTGACAATACCAGCAGCTGCCAATGTGAACGTAACTACAAGAGGGCTTGCAAAAATGTTACAGCGGTGCTCTTTCCTTTCTGTTGTGCTAAGGAAAGGCAGCTGGTTTTGAAGGCTCTGCTGGCTTCTTCTCAAGCCCAACCCAAGCTCTTCCTCTGTCTCTAGGCAATATTACAAAGCCCGGTTACACTGCTCTTCTCAGAAAAGCCAGTGTACAGACCTGCACAGCCCCGTGAGCAGAGCGTTGGCACCGGGCGCACTGACTGCAGGGACGCTCAGCAGGCAGAGGGCGAGCGGGGAGCTCCAGCAAAGCCTGATCCCTGCAGCTGGCAAGGAGGGATATGCCTGGGTACCCTAAGCATTGTGATACGTCCAGCCGTTCTGGAATGCATCTGGAGTGGATCTAAACTCACACTGCCCAAACGGAGGGGGTCACATGAATCAGATTAGCAAATTTAATTCCCCAGGGCATTCTCAGAACAAGAAAGCACAAAAGACAGATGGCAAAGCTGGCGAAGAAAATTTTTCTGGTGCCAGGATAATATCAAATCATTGGAATTTCACATATAAATGCAGTTACAAAATGAATAAACCTGAATTCAGTAATTCAGTGATTTATCTACAGACAGCACATAACTTCATGTATTTCACTAGCTTTGCTTCAGTGTTCTAAGAGAAGTAAAACACATTCTATAAATATCACAAACACAGCTTTAAAATATGTTACTTCCTCTTTCTTTCCAGGTGGCACATTGCTACAGAAAAACCTCAGGGGTAAAAGCATTAAGAAAGCAACTTCACACCTAGGAGACGGCCGCTGGCTACCGCACTGGCATTAGTGGTAACTTTGTCAGCTACTTTTAAGGATCACCTTACAGTAGATATGTTTTAGCAGACACAGCAACTGGTTCTCTAACATAGCACAAAACTGAACCAAGCGGCCTGCTGACCACAGCGAAGCACAAGGGCTCTGCTCTTGCCTTTTTATTTTTTAAAAGCTTTCTGTTTCCATGCACTGGCAGAGAATGAACTAATATCATTACCTTCAATTGCTTTTTAAAAAATGGAAGAAAAAAGGATTCTCCCAATTTCAGTCCAACAGGGAACAACACACTCTGTGTCTCACTCATCTCCTCAGTGCTCGACTTTCCTCTGTACACGAAACATCTCCCTGCCCTGCCCGATGCCAAGGCAGAATCTCAGCAAACACAACTGTCCACCAGGAATGCTGGGAATGAGACATTAGGATAACCAAGCACATGTAACAGTTTCAAAGCCTTGTCAAAGGTCTTACCTCACCCCTAAAACCATATGTAGAAATACTGGCCAAGTCTTCAAACTTTTGCAGTTTACTGGTAGTAAATCGCTCACATACAATGTCCAGATCTTCCTTCTGTGTGAAGGGGACAAACAAGTAAAAGTTACCTTTTGCTTCCAAGTCATTTCAAGACAAGAAACGCGTATTTCTAAACTGAAAAGAAGTTTAAGCACCAATATCAAACCTCAGCATTCAGCTGCCAGGCCAGGTTACTTACTCTGATACCACAGCCGTTGTCTTGGATCTGGATGAGCTTCAGGCCTCCCTCCTTAACTACCACCTGGATACTGCTAGATTTAGCATCCAAACTGCAAGGAGAAAGAAAAGCTTTGGAGCGCATGAAGGGCTCCAGAGATCAGACAAATTAGAGACGTGATCTGAAATTCCATTTAAGGCCTGATTTTCAGTCATCTTGAAATTTCCTCTGCTTCAAGTGGGTCTCTACCCCCTCCTCCCGCCCCCCGTCCTTTTCCTTCTGACAGCACGGAACACTATACCGTTTAACCCACTAAATGCCAGGAGCAACGGCAGCAACGTTACAGCCCGCGCAGCGCGGCGCCCCGGCGGCCCCGGCCAGGCTCCTCACCAGTTCTCCAGCATCTCCTTGACGGCGTTGGCGGGCCGCTG